ATTGTGGTGTATGATTTTTTTGGATGAATTGTTGAAGTCGATTGGCCAAAATTTAGTTGAGAAGTTTTGCATCAAGGTTCATCAAAGGCAGTTTTAACCAATGTGGGCTGCTGTGGATTTCAGCGTGTCCTAAAGCAGCAGAGCTGAGTGACATCTAGTGAGTGACATCTGGAGTCCTGGGTCCTAGAGATTACTGTCGGCCTGTCAGCAGGGAGAAGCCTCTAAAAGAGCGGCAGACAACTAGCACTTAAAATGGCTCTTTTCTTCATATAAAGTAAAGCATATTTTTTTCCTTTTTCTTTTTCAAGCTTTTCAAAAAATCCTTAGGAAATGTCATTAGCTAGAGAGAAAAATGAGTGTAAGCAGAGGAGGCTTACAAGCGGTTGGTAATGACTGTTTTAAATTTAGCTAGACTTCACTGGGGTTCCACATTTTTCTCAAAATTACGCGATTAAACCAACTGGTAGATAAGAATCATGACGGTTGTTTTTAGATTTTTTTTTTTCACCATTCGATAAGGTACTTTAATATTTTTCCTAAATCCAATCACATTTTGAAATATTTACTTCAATAGGATTGATAGAATCAATCATAATTTCTTTAACTATTTAACAGTAAAACATTTAACAATGTATAGGCATCAATGCCTCACACTTGTAATCCTAGCTACTCTGAGATCTGAGGATCATGGTTTAAAGCCAGCTAGAGCAGGAAAGTCCATGAGACTCTTATCTCCAATTAACCAGCAAAAAGCTGGAAGTGGGGTTGTAGATCAAATAATAGAGTGCTAGACTTGAGCACAAAAGCTCAGGGACAATTTCCAGGCCTCAGAACCAGCACTTTAAACAAAAGCTGTTTATCAAAAAGTTTATATCTGGGCTGGGAAGGTGGCTCAGTGGTAGAGCGCTTGCCTTGCATGCCTGAGGCCCTGGGTTCGATTCCTCAGAACCACATAAGCAAAAAGAAAAAAAGCGGGAAGTGGCACTGTGGCTTAAGTGGTAGAGGACTAGCCTTGAGCTGAAGAGCTGAAGGACAGCGCTCATGCCCAGAGTTCAGGCCCCACGACTGGACCCCCCCCAAAAAAAAAAAGTTTATATCAGAAAGCATTGATTGTAATCAATGGTTCTATTTTCTTTTTCTTTTTGCTAGTCCTGGGGCTTGAACTCAGGGCTTACTTAGCCACTGTCTCTGAGCCCTTTTGGGCTCAGAGCTAGCACTCTACCACTTGAGCTACTACACCACTTCTGGCTTTTTCTGAGTACTTTATTGGAGATAAGAGTCTCATGGACTTTCCTGCCCAGGCTGGCTTTGAACCACAATCCTCAGACTTCAGCCACCTGAGTAGCCAGAATTACAGGCATGAGCCACCAGCACCTGGCTAATAGTTCTATTTCCTGAGTCCTTTCTGAGTATATAATATTAAATAAATTGTGTTTAGGCAGAAGAGTAGCTGGTAGAATCCAATAGTCATTTGTTAAGGTGTGCCTTTTGGGTAGATGTCTCAGAAATTATAATAAGATGACATGTTATCTCATTTTGTTTTCAATAAACTTGCAGGAGTACTCTACCAAGTGATCAGAGAGAATCAGCCATTGGAAATCATCTGACTATGGCATATAGCTTCAGTGTACTGAATGGCATGGCCACCCTTAGCCCTTCTCATTCACGTCCACTTATGTATGTGAACATGTTTGTTTGTATTTTTCTGGTATGGAGTTCGAACTCAAGGCCCTAAAGTTGCTCAACTTGCTTAGCTGATGCTTTACCACTTGACCACTCTTCCAGCCCAGCTTTATGCTGGTTATTTTTGGAGATAGAGTTTCATAGACTTTTCTGCCAGGACTAGCTTTGGACTGAGATCCTCGGGATCTCAGCCTACTGAATAGCCAGGATTACAGGGTTAAGTTACCAGCTCCCAGCTTGAACAAGCTTTCCTTTTTTTTTGCTTATGTGGTGCTGGGGAATCGAACCCAGGGCCTCATACATGCAAGGCAAGCGCTCCACCACTGAGCCACCTTCCCAGCCCCTGAACAAGCTTTCCTAACACTAACATCTCTACATTGAAGAAAGGAAAATGAGCAGAAAAATACTTAATGCTCCCATGTACTCCCATCCCCAAAATAACAGCACTCAAAACTAAATGCTCCATTAATTTCATAAAATATAGTTCCAAAATTGCCTTTTATATTTAGTAATTATTAACATTGTCAAGACATTTATTGCTTTAAGCAGTTGTGTACCAAAAATAATTGTGATAACTCACAATAATTGTGATAACCCACTGAACATGTTTAAAAATTAATTTCAATTAATCCAGTCAAAGAGTTGCAAAGAAGTATTATACGGGGGTCAACAAGCTACTTTCAGATATAAGCTGTATCACAGCAGAGAAAATTGATGGGGAAATTGAGTAGAAAGATTTCTAAGGGGAAGGAAAGCACTAGGAATGCAGAGACACAAGTTCAAGTCCACCCTGAGTTACATGGTAAGACCCTGTCTCAAAAGCCGAGTTACTCAGGAGGCTGAAATCTGAAGGATCAAAGTTTGAGGCCAGCTGGGGCACAAAAAGTCTCCATGTCCAAAATAACTATTAAAAAAAAACTGGGCTGGAGTTGTGGCCAGCTGAAAATGCAAGCCAAGCAAATATAAAACTCTCTGAGTTCAAAACCAGATACTGGTTAAGAGAAGAAGAAAATGGTGACCAAGAAAAAGAAGAGAGAAGACAACAACAACAACGTTGGTCTGAAAATGTATCTTAAGATTCTGGTTCCATTCCCAGAAAAAAAAAGAAGCTGGAGGATGTTTAAAGGCCTCCTGAAAAGTATTAATTTGCTAATTTAATTTGCTAATTAATTTACAAGTTTATTTTAGCCGGCTGCTGGTGGCTCATGCCTATAATCCTAGCTACTCAGAAGGCTGATATCTGAGGATCAGAGTTCAAAGCCAGCCTGGGCAGGAAAGCCCGTGAAGACTCTTATCTCCCATAAACGACCCCCCCCCCACAAACTACCCCCCCCAAAAAAAGCTGAAAGTGGGACTATGGCTCAAGTGATAGAGTGCCAACTTTGAGCAAAAAAAAAAAAAAAAACAGCTCAGGGACAGTGCCTAGGCCCTGAGTTCAAGCCCCAGGACTGACACAAACAAAAATTTATCTTAAAATGTCCATTGTTTAGGCTAGGCTGGGAGTTTTATCTCTTGAATTTAAATTTATGCTGAAAACTTTAAATATATATACATGTGAAGGCCACTGACTTAAGACTACCCAACTATCTCTTTGGCTTTGGCTCTCACCCCAAACGCTTCTTGCTCAGACAAGTGCTTCTGTCTGTGCACCTGCTGTGTTCACTGCAGTTAGATGATGCCTCTCCCAGTTAAGGAAGAGAATGTGGCTCCCTGTGCTAGCCAGAAACCCTAAATGCAGGCACCCTGAAGGATTCTACTTTTGAAAGTCTACCAACATATCATTCTGGAGAAAGTGAATGTGAATTACTGCATCCCTTCCTTATGCCAATCACTCTGCTAGTGGGCATACACTGGGGCTTAAACTCAGAGCCTGGGCACTTTCCTTTAGCTTTTATATGCAAAGCTAGTGCTCGACCACTTGAGCCACACTTCTACTTCTAGCTTTTTGGTCATTAATTGGAGATAAAGAGTCTCACAGACTTTCCTGCCTAGGCTGGCTTTGAACTTTAATCCTCAGATCTCAGCCTCCTGGGTAACTAGGATTACAGATGTGAAAGCTTCTGCTGGTGTTTTGAATTGTGTCTCCTGATTTCTCATCCCAGACAGGGGTCATCATTGTCATTTCTTTAAGAATAGAATAGATCCACTCATGGCTTCCAACTTGTTTTGGAGAAGCAGAAATCGCAGGGGTTAGCATGGGCTTCTCACTAGCTTGAAGGAGAAAAAAACACCCTGGTGTGGAAACGTTTCATAGAGCAAACACAGGCCATGAAGCCTCTCAGGCTGGTTCCATACCTGCCAGGGTCATAAGGAGAGACAGGCCACTCACTGCCAAGCTGAGCTCATACAAGCCACTGGGGCTAGGCATGTCCAACACCTTCAGCTCAGGTCTGCCTACAGGGGGCGCTGCAAGCCAACCTTGCAATAGCAGAGGAGTGAGGGAAGGGCGGGAGGGGAGGTTGGGGGGTGGAGAGGAGGTTGCTTCCTCCAGCTTCCAGGATGGGATGAGTGTTGGTGACAGTGGTAAATAAGTATGTCAATTGCAGGCAAATAGAGGTAACTGGAGATCACCCTGTGGTGCCAGAGAAGCCAGGCCCAGGCTGGAAAGGCCAAATAATGAATGTTCTCATGCATTGGGGGAGTACAGACCTAGAAAGGTAATGATGATAGCAATGGAAATCAGACAAGGTAAAGGGAGGATTATCCAGGAGGAGTAGGTGGGAGGGGCGGGGGAGAAAGGAGAGGATTCTGAGGGGTAATGAAGATCCGTGTTACACACACACACACACACACACACACACACACACTGAATATAGCACAATGAAACTCATCCAACCCCGTCTGAAATGATGGGGGTGAGGGGAGGGAGTGGGAATATGAAGGGGATGAATTGGTTCAAGGGCGCTGTTGCATGTATATCACAATGAACCCCCTCATGTTACAAATGAATGCTAACCCCGAAATGTCCTTTTAGAGTATTCATTCACCCGTCCACGCGTGGATTCATTCCATAGTCATTGGCTGGTTGCCATAGAACAGGGAATGGATGGTATCCTGGGTGTCTGGTGAACCCCAAATGCAGAGTTACACTAGAAATACTGATTTCCTGGGTTTCCTACGGTGGTCTGGCTGTCCTTGGGGATAAGGAACTGTTACCATATTTGGACCAGTAGTCCTCCTCTCCCCCCCACACACAATCTGAATGCATTTTTGTATGTTTTCATCCATTTCTGATGGTTTGGGATTCTGAATAATAAAAGACAAGTGAGCAAAGTAAAGTTTTTGAGTCAGTCCATAGGGTTCACACAAGAACGTACCGAATCGAAGCAGTCATGGCTCCTCTTTTGGGTGTGAATGCCAACTTCATCGTGGTGGCATAGGAATCCCATTCTTGATCAGTTACTAAAAGGGCAAAAAGATAAAAAGTCATTTGAAATGTGGCAAAGCAGGCTATTTTGATCCAAGGCCATCTAACATTAAAGTAATATGGTTGGGCATGTTAGTTCATACCTGGCATCCCAACTACTGGGGAAGTGGTCAGGAAGATTGTAGTAGAAGATGAACCTAAGCAAAAAAGTTAGCAAGACCTCACCTCAACCAGCAAGCTGGGCTTGATGGTACCTATCTACAATCCAAGTTCTGCAGGAGGCTCAGGTAACAAGATCAAACCTATTTGCTCCAAGTAATAATGGTGTCTTAAGGGAAAACCCTATGTCTTATATGGAGCAGGGCTGACCTGAACTTGGTATAATGGCTTCTTCTGTTACTGAAAGCTATGAGAACGCTAAGGAAGAGAGGAGATTAGAGAAGTAGAGGCTGAAGTCTGGCTCTCAAGGCCAAAAGAGGAAGAGTCAGTAAAGGCTGAGAAGAACAGTCAGCCAGGTGGAAGGGGAGAGCCTAGAGTTTATAAATAAAGAACAATCCCCGCCCCCCCAGGGAACAAGAGATCCCCTCATAGGGCTGACTGTGTGGCAGACTATAGCAGCTGCCTGGACCTCCTGTTACTGACAAAGTGCCATCCACTTTCCCAGGAACACAGTGGCGCCCACTAGCCATGCCCACCTGTCTACTGTGATAGGATCTCCTGCTGTCTAGCTCCTATCTCCCTGACCAGAGTATCCACTCTGTATATATCACCTTCCCGTTAGTCACATAGCGACTGTCCCACATTATCACCAGGATTGTTTATAGCATGTGTAGAGTGTGGAGGGGTGTGTGTCTTGGAACCATCCCCTGTGAATAGTGAGGGTTACCGATATACGTTTGAAATTTGAAATCATTCTATTCTGTGCATTTTAGTAATAAAATTCAGCCATTTTCTCGTTTTGTAATGGTTACCTGTTACATTTTAAATACCATGAGAATTGGATATCTCTAACTTTATTTATGTGTTTATTTATTTTATTGTGAGAATACGTACAGAGGAGTTACAATTACATGGGCAAGATAACGAGTACATTTCTTATCATGCATTGTTGCCTCCTCTTTGTTTCCCCTTCCCATCCCTTCCCATACTCCCCCCCCAACCGATTTCCCCCCACCCCCCACCAAAGTTGTAAAGTTCGTTTTTTTGACATAACGACTTGTACGTCTCATTGTTGCAATGGGTCCACCTGTATCCCTAGTTAAACGATTTGTTTCTTTCCCTTCCCCTCCACAAATTATACCAACATCAAATACAGTGAAAGCATGGGTTATATCGTGGGGGGGGGACATACAAAGCAACAAAACAATCACCTTATAAATATGTTAGAAACAATTGCATAAAAGGAAAAAAACATTTGAATACTTATCTTAGGGTTCATTCCCCTAACATCAACTTATCTGACCTTTTCTGCTTGACTCAGACATATACTAGTTATTGCAAATAAGGGAAACCATGGGACCTATGTTTATTTTGGGCCTGGCTTACTTCACTTAATATAATTTTTTTCCAAGCCTTTCCATTTCCTAACAAATGGGGCAATGTCATTCTTTCTGATGGAGGCATAGAATTCCATCGTGTATATATACCACAATAAACACAGCTAGCCAGGCTGGCTCACACACTTGTAATCTTAGGTCCCCAGAAGGCTGAGATCTGAGGATCACAGTTCAAAGACAGCCCAGTCGGGAAAGTTCATGGAGACTCTTATCTCCAATGAATCACTCAAAAGCTGGAAGTGGAGGTATGGCTTAAGTGGTAGAATGCTAATCTTGAGCAAAAAAAGCTCAGACAGCACTCAGGCCCCAAGTTTAAGCCCCAAGACTAGCATAAATTAAAATATTAAACACAGCTGCCTAGGATCTATTGTCTCGACCCACTCATTTATCCTATTAAAATTGCTGTGTCTGTTTTGTAGTATCTCAATATTTTTTTTGGCCAGTCCTGGGCTTGAGCTCAGGGCCTGAGCATTGTCCCCGAGTTTCTTTTTGCTCAAAGGTAGCACTCTACCACTTGAACCATAGTGCCACTTCCAGCTTTTTCTGTTTATGTGGGTCGAACCCAGGGCTTCATGCATGCTAGGTGAGCACTCTACCACTAAGCCATATTCCCATACTGTGTGTCTCAATATTCTTAAAAGATGTATGCTTAGCATAGAGAGTTCTCACTAAACATTAACCATTTATGTCACCTGTATATCATTATTTTTTAATTTGGTGATCATAGGATTTGATCTTAGAACTTAGTTACCAGGATTTGAATTCAGGGCATCAATCTATTGCTTAGCTTTATTGCTTATAGCTGGTACTCTACCACTTCAGCCATACCTCCAGCCCTGCTCTTTTCCTGGATATTTTAGAGCCAGAGTCTCTCTGACCTTTCTACTCTGACTGGCTCTGAACCATAATCATCCAGATCTCAACTACCTGAGTAGTCACTAGTGCCTGGTTCCCCAGCACCTTTTATTGTACTGGTTATGGTCTTGCTTTTCACCTGGGCATTGGCCTAGACTATGATCCTCCTATTTTATGGTTCCTGCAGTAACTGGGATGACCTAGTTGCTTCTATTGAGATGGGCTCTTGTGAACTTTTTTGCCTGTGCTAGCTTGAAACTGTGATCCTCTCAATCTCAGCCTCTTACCTGTTTAGGTGAGACAGGTATATACCATGAGGCCCAACTATGGGTTAAAGATGAGCCTCTCAAGACTTTTGCCCAAGCTGGCCTGGAACAGGGCCCCAGCAGCATCTGCCTGTCAGTCACCTGGCCAATATGATCTTCCTTTGGGTGCCTATGGAGTCTTTCCTCTGCTGATCACAGGTGGATACTGGCACATGGCAGCCACAGATTGCACAATGCCTGTTCCAGGAGTGTGCAGGGACAGAACTGCCTGGCTACCTCTAGGACCTAAGGTCAAGTGTTTTTCCTCTTTCTGTGTCATCTAAGCACAAATCTATGGCTTCCTTTTGTTCTCAAATGATTATCTTCTAGACATCAGAGACCGTTCATTATTGCCAACAGAAAGGCCATGGAAGGGGATGTCTGCTGAGACAACACAGCGATCATGCCACTAGTGTCCCAGTTACCGTGGCTGTCCCTGTACAGCCGCACAAAGCTGAGCTGGGAAACTCGAAGTCTCTGGCAGCAGCAGCAGAGGGCATCACCTACAGAAGGAATCTCAGAACTGCCCAGGCAAAGACTGTCTAAATCCCGCAGCTCACAGTCTCTGCTGCTGCAGCCAGGAGGGGGTCCGATCTCTGCTGCAAAAAGGGAGAAGCTCCTTCTGCCTTCTGCTGCATCCTGGTCCCCATGGGTCCCCCCAATTTCTTTGCTGCTTAGCAGACCCAATGGGAATAGGACTCCAGCCCAGCCAGCTCTGGTCTAGCTTCTCCGTGTCTGTCCCTTTCGTTCCCTTTGATCTGTTGGAAAGGCCCTGCCAAGAACACCCTCAGTCTCTCTGACTTCCCATCCCCGAGAGGCAGGGCCCTTAAAGAAGGGAGCCCCGGTGGCTGCCCAGTACCCTTCCCCAGGAAAGCCCCCATCAGACAGGCAGGGACCGCAGTCTTACTTGGCTGGAGCTTGCGAGCGCCCTCAGAGAGGCTCTTGGCCATGGGCTCAGGCTGAGTCATCCTGCCCCAAAGTCCGGTGAGAGATGTGCTTTGTGACGCGTCGCCATGGAGACCGGGAGGGGGGGTGGATTCCCTCCTGCCCAGGCTCCGCCCACCCCACCCTGACTTGGGTGGCTGAAGCCAAGGGATGGTTATCCTTGCGGGCAGTTCTTGCAATGAGCTTCCCTCACCTTTGCCTTGTGAACTGGGGAAAGAGGAACAAAAAGTGCAAGAAAATGAGCAAAGAAAGTATAGTGGGAGACTTTCAACTGCTAATTTTCACCTGCTCCAGAACTTTCAGCTTAAGCAAATGTGGGCACATAGTCATGGATCCAAGCAAGAGGAAGTTAAAGAAAAAAATACCACATGTGATGTGGCTGAGGGAGAATGAAGTGTTTCTGTGATGGTTCGTGTAGTCCAAACAGGTCATCCTGTGCCTTGGTCAGCTGTGGGGTACTGCAAGGAAATGCCTAAAGCGGGCTATATAGGAAGTGGAGAAAGGCGTGGTTTGACTTCCGGTGCTAGAGGAAATTTATAGCCACTCCCGGATCTCATGACCTCATGGCTGGGAAGGTCATGGTGGAAGTGGGCACCAGAAACAGTGATCACATCTGGAGACAAGATGCAAAGAAAAAAGAGGAAGAGACCCAGGTCCTGCAGAGCACCCACTATGGCCCACTGGGTCCCTGAAAATCAACAGCACCTCCCAAGGGCAGCACCACCCCATGGCCTTTTGGGAGACACTGCCCAGATTGAAACCATAACATCTCAAGTTAAGAAATCAGAGAGGGTGCCAGGCACTGGTTGCTCACACCTAGCTGCCTCAGGTACCTGAAATCAGGAAGATGGAGGTTTGAAACCAGCATAGACAAAAAAAAAAAAAAATCCACAAACCAATTAATCTAGCCAAAAGATGACATGAATACATGGTTAGTACACACACACACACACACACACACACACACACACACACACACACACAAATATGATTCATTTCGCCAGGCCACTTTCCTGTCACCTACTATTGTACTTTAAAATTGCCAGCCACAGCCATGGACTCAAATACATCTTCCACCCCTGTATGGCAGTTACTACCAGAGGGGGACAGTCTTTGAGCTTTGTATTATTGCCAATACTTGGTATTTTGACACACAGGAGGTGCTGAGTAATTACAGAATGACTAGAACACAGCTCTCAGTCACTCTTGTGAAAAGAAGACAGGAAATACACCTTGAACTCTGCTGGTGACATGTTTAGGAAGCAATTTACAACATCTCCTTGTCCTGCACTGGCCCCTCAGTGGGCTGCAAAATGTAGCTAAGAAAAAGAATCTCAGGAGCATCTTTGCATTGGAGAGCTAAATTAGAATTTTCTGAGGGCAAAGTCTCATCCACATACTCCAGGGAATATACCATTTTTTAGATACTCAAAAGTTTAAAGCTATGAATGGTGGAACACATCAGGAGGCCCAGACTTCTGCCAATGTTATTAAAAGCAATGACTCTAAAAAAGGATTTAGTAGTGGCAGCTAAATTAAGAAAGTAACATCCAATAGCAGATTAACTGTCTGGAAATGGTAGGGCTAATTAGCATAGCATAATTTAAGAGAAATACATTTTTAAAACATGGCAGCAGTTTCTATAGAGTTTTAACTGTGAATTCTTATTAATATCTTGTATTTGGCTCCTCTTCTGAAAGCTGAAATGAGGAGTTATGTACTGAGTGGAGTGGGAGCCAGAACAGGTCTTTGTGGCTTTCTCCCCCAGAGGGTCCTGTTTCCTTAACTATTAAATGAGTACTGAGGAAACTGCGTTTTAGATTCCCTAGCCCAAAGTCCAAAAGTCTCGAGTTAGGTCTAGCCATTTGTCCCCTAATGGAGATATGGTAAAGGGCAGAGAAAGGGTAATTTATTACATGGCAGCGATTTAGTTCATCTTCCATTGGCTTCAGGTTAATAGAGAGAATTGTGGGCAGGGGGTAAGAAAGGTATGGGTAGTTGAAACAGCCATAGGTATGGCCCGGGTGACCATTAGCTCAGCTTCAGTCTCTGAAGGGATTATAGAGAAGTTATTACTTTTACTGGAATGGATCAAGAACAAGGTAATCTCCTGAGTTTTGGGTTGTTTTCTTTGAGATGTTAGGAAGGCATTGCCTGTTTGAGGGGCAGTTTGCCTCCACACAAGATGCTTATCTGAATCTTTTCTTTCCTCCTGAATCTTCTCTTTCCTCCTGTACACAAGGTGAGGACAAAGAGACTGCAGCACAGAATAGCTCAGCTCAGAGGGCACAGATACAAAGTTGGGGGACTTTTAGTTAATTTCAGGACCCAGTTAAAACATCCTTTAAGTTGCCTCTTAGACTAGGGTCCACATGGCTGGGCTGTGACACTGACAATCTTGACAATAACTTATCAACATTGAGCCCCACAAACACAAGATACTCTTCTGTCTGGTTGCATTTTTGGTGTTTATTATTTTACACAGTTTTACTTCTGGTTCTGTGCTTAATTGGAGATAAGAGTCTCAGAGACTTTCCTGCTGGAGCTGGCTTTAAAATGTAATCCTCAAAACTTTCCCTCTTGAGTAGCTGGGATTAAGCCAATGGTGTTCGGCTTAATATTATTTATTGAAATGAGAGAGGAATAGCCAAGTTCATAGGCCAAAGGTGATAAGCAAGTAGGGAGCATCAGAAGCCACAAGACAGAGCAGAGGGTCCAAGGAAGAGAAGGTATATTTGTGAGAACTTAGACTCGGAGTAAGTCAGGTGGACTGAGCTGCAGCATTTCAACAAAGTTCCTAGGTAATTCACAGAACGGGAGATGGGTTACTGTGGGCAGACCTACAGCCTTCCCACAGCAGACTCTGTACCATCAAGAATGCATCACAACTACAGAAGCTCAGGCCTCACCCAGAGCACCTGAACCAGAGTCTACTCTCTAACAGACATCCAGAAGAGTCCTATATATGTGCAAATTTGAGGAACATTGCCTCTAGTAATAAGAAAGGCATCACCTCCTCAGTAAGAGGGGGAATAGGAAGGAGTCAGTGAGATCCAAGAGCAAGTTCATGGAGGATGCATGAGAAATTCACCAGTGGCTGCTTCCAAAAGCTTAAAAGAGGTCTAAACCAATCTACAGTGATCTGCAGCAGCTTTAGGTGTGAACATACTGGAAAAGTTTCTCTGCCTTGGTTTTTTTAAAAAAATGTTTATTACGTTTAAGTAGTTGTGTGTAGGGGTCAGTTTATGAGTATAATGCATCTTGATCAATGTAACTGCTTTCATCACTCTTCCCTTTGATTGTTATACTTTAGATAAAGTCTTTCCTTTTTTTCTTTGTTTCATTCTCTCTCTCTTTTTCCTTTCTTTCTTCTTTCTTTTTTAGTGCTGGGACTGCAGCTTGAACTCAGGGCCTCAGCACTGTCCCTGAACATTTGTGCTCAAGACTTATGTTCTACTATTTAAGCCACATCTACACTTCTAGCTTTGTGGTGGTTAATCGGAGATAAAAATCTCACAGACTTTCTTGCCTGGGCTGACTTTAAATCTCAATTCTCAGATTTCAACCTCCTAAATAGCTACAATTACAACCACTGGCACCAGGTAAGCCTTTCTAATACTATGTAGTCTGCAGTGCTTTCAAACATTCTGGTGTTAAAAAGAAAACCAAAAAACCTACTTGTCCTGTCTATTATGTGTACATATCTTAAGACATTTTTCTCAATATTCTAAACTAAGATGCTCCAGAGTAACAGAACTAATTGGAAATCTATCATCTATCTATCTATCTATCTATCTATCTATCTATCTATCTATCTATCTATCTATCTATCTATCTATCTATCTATCTATCTATCTATCTATCTTTCATTTTAACTAATTAAATCACACAGTGGGGAAGTTGGCAATCCATTGAGCAGCCAGGATGTTGAAGACTCAGTTAAGGGCCTACATGCTGTGGCTTGCATGCAATCACTCTGTGTACAAAGAATTCACTCTTGCTGGGGAAGTTACGATCTCATTGTATTTGCTCCCATAATTGACTGAAACAGGCCCACCCACGTTAGAGAAGGCTATCTGCCTTATTCAAAATCCTTCATTAAAAACGCTCATCCAGCAATACCTTGGCCGAAATGCCCAGGATAATGCTTGGCCAGATATCTGGATGCTGTAGTCCATCCAGGTGGCCACATAAAATTAGCTACCATAGATGTAGATCTTCCTGAGGCCTGTAGGTCACCACTGTCGTGATGAAAGGTATTGGGCAAGTACTCTCAGAATCATATTATCATCTTATGGAAAACTCCAGAGGGGTGAAGAAAGCTATAATCTCTATTTCATTAGGACAATCTATTTCAAAGGTGCTAGATTCTAAGATCTTCCCACTTGCTACTCATCAAATTTATATGTCAAATAAAGTCATAAGAGCAATTTCAGACTATCGAGCCTATCAAAGCAGCATAGATCTTAAATGTGACATTCTGGATAGTCCCCACTTTCACTGATTCTCCTTCTTTCTTCTTTGGACTCATCAGAAGTGAACCATGGGCAGGGCGCTGGGAATTACCAATGCCAGTCAGGTCTACATAAGGAGCAGAAACACTCATTTTACATTACTACACACACACACACACACACACACACACACACACACACACATGCACGCAAATGCTCTTTTATTCAAAGTAATTTATTTTAATGATACTACTACTTAAAGCATTTTTGAAATTCTTTAGAAACTCCGTCTTGAAGCTGACACACACATTCTTCTTTCTCTAGTGGGGAACATAATTTTGCTCTTTGGAGATAGATTGATTATTTAAAACCATAAAAAAAAGGTTCATTTGAGCTGAACATAAGATTAGGTGATCATTTTGAGCAAAGTTATCCTGTAGCCAAAAAATCAAATTCTGACCACAAGGAAAAAATAACGTCTTCCTTGTTTAAATAATTTCTAGACTTCTAATTCACTGGAGTAAATTCATAGTTTCTGGATAAATCATTTGGATAAATCCGTCATCATATATTTGTTTTATAATTTTGCACTCAAACTACATCACAGGTGTCCTTAATACTTCCCCTTTTGAATTTCTCTTACAGCATAGTATGTTATTGTTAAATTTGGTGCTGGAGATTGAGCCCAAGACCTTGTTCATGCTCAGCACACTGACCTATAGCCTCCGGGGTTTTGTTTGTTTTTTAAATAAGATTAGAGTCTCCATGAAAGCCAATGTCATGTTTGGGCATTGCTATCTGCCAGCATCTACTTTGAGGCATACGGTGTGTTGAATGAGTTGGATGAATGAGTTGGGTGAATGGAAAAATTGCTTAGGTCATTGTTGTGCATCAGAAAACAGTTTCTGCTACTATCACAAAATACCCGAGGCTGGGAACTTTCCAAAGGAAAGAGGTACATTTTGGTTCTGAAACCCAAGAGCCTGGTGCTGGCTTTTTCTCAGCTCCTTGAGCAGCTCCTGCTGGTGGAGACCTTGCAGGGAATTGAGGTGGTACAGGGAATTCCACGGAGAGTCAGAGCAAGCTTGCTGACTTGGGTCTCTCTTCTTATTAAGCCCTTAATAACATCACGAGGGCTCAATCATTGTAGACCTCTCTGATCCGAGTTACCTTCCAAAAGGCCACTTCTGAATACCATTAACAGATGACTTTCAAGATTAAGCTTCAGCATGAATTTTGGTAGAAACAAACTAATCACCGTGTTATCTGACAAATTTCTATTGATCTTAAGCTGCTAAAATATCCACATAAAGCCAATATCCAGACTGTTTTATCCAGCATGGTCTGTGCTAAATTTTGTGTCCATTTTATAGATTTCCTAATCTCGTGGTTTGGGTTTTTTTTTGTAATATCTGCTATAAAAGTACATGAGCAACCATGCATAGTTCCTGGTAGGTGGTTGATAAATGTTTGCTGAATTCACATTGAATGAATGAATTCATTTGTTTCAGAAACAAAAGTTTTTAATGATGAAAGAAATGCCCTAACTCTTTATTCCTGGGGTGACTACTATGATTTTTCTCAGTTCAGCTACTTATTTGTAAAACATTGTTAGTTTTGTGAATAGAAATTCTGTTTTGTTAGAGAAACATTTAATACTTCATGTCCACCTAAGGTTTGTTTGCACTGATACAAAGCTTATTGTCAGCACATTTATTGAATAATGCATTTTTAAATTGAACAATGGATGTTTATTCTCTTCTGTTACTGAGTAACATTTCTCTCCTCTTTTCTGAAAGATAATCAAATTTTGTTTTCTTCCTCCAAATACTTTATGGCCTTGTTCTTCAAAAGACTATTCTGGAGAAAGTGGCTTCAGAAACCACAATTTTTATTATAAGTGAGTGATAAGGCACATACAACACCCACAAACCAAAAGTCACCAATCACACAGACCTAGGGTCACAAATTTAATCAAGTCTATTTTGAATGCTAAGAAACGTTTTAATTGTGCAAATATACTATATAACACTTCAAATATGGATGGCAGGATCATCGGCAGAGCTATCAAACTGTATAATACAGGAATATGTTTTTAATGATAGAAAATACCCATAAAGCTTCCTCATTATGAGCATACGTAGTGATTCATTTGTGCAAGCTTTCATATGGAGATTGGAGAAATTTCTTTTTCTCTGGAAGAATTCCACTGTGGCTATGAGGTGGAAACACACTGATGTAGCAATGAATTATGGTAATGACACAGCCTTCTTCTATTTTTCTTTTCATGTTAGCATTGCTGGGAACATATTTTAAATGCCCAAGTGGCTCGATGTGCTGTCAAGATGGAGGACTCTGCCGTGTGCAGTGTGGATTCTCCCCTGTCACGGACTGTTAGTACCCCACCTGGTTTCATTCTTCAGTGGGCAGAATGTGAAGGAGGATGCCAATCAGGGTTCACATTTCAGGCAGTAGGGAACAAGGTTACTATCCTAGCAACCTGGGCAGTCCTCCAATAAACCTGATGTTGAGTGTTTCTCAGAAGGGTTCACATAGACGTGATGAAAGATCTCATCATTTGTCTTTTGTCCTAAAGGAAAAATAGTGATGTTGGCCCAAATTTTCTAGGCTTGGGGATGAACAAGCATCTCCAAAGTGAAGTGCCACACCCCAACTTATAAAACATCACAGGCCGACATCCAAGACAGACACCTCCTACAGAGGCCCCCAGGAAAGCTCTCAGAGGGCCATGGCTAACCAAGATGGCAGGATATTCTGTTCCTCCTGTCTCTTTGAAGAAGTGTTGAAATAGAGGAACCTTGTCCCCCTCTCAAGCCATGTAGCCAAAGCCTTTTCATCCTGGTAACCATAACATAGAAGGAAACTAGCTATACCCAGCCTGCCAGGCCACCATGCCCAGGAAAACTGAAGATTAGTCTCTCCATGGAAGCCATAGGGAGAAGGAGGAGACCACAAGGGGGCGAAAGTCCTGTCTCCCAACAGATCCCTCCCCTCTACCTGTATTGTGGCTAAGGCCTGGTATGCAGGGGTGAAAGCAAGAATGTTCTGTCCAATCAGATAAATGGGTTGGGTGTCTCATCAGATTCCAAAACACTGGGAAATGGTAATTCTGCCAAAAGAGGCTCTGTCAGAGATGATCTGGGTGACAGATTGCAGTTAAAAACGTCATCTATTGAACCTACAAAACAGTAAATAAAGCAATCATTATTACCAACAAAACAAACCCCCAAAATGCCTTTAACACTCATGCAACATAGCCATCCAATAATTAGTAGAGAATCCTGGTTTCCAAAAAAAAAACTTAAAAATGTGACTAAACAAAATGTGCCGCTTTTTTGCTTATCTGTGGGATGTGATTGTCACTTGCTTCCCTGTGGGCTGTAGATCTACAGATCTACAGCTTCCTAGAGAGCAAAAGGCTCACATTTGGGGAGCAGATATTTTGAAGGGGCCAGAGCTAGGTTACCAGCCTTGGCAGCCTACCCTGGCTACCAAGCCTACCCTGGCTCTAAGACCTACCTGCTAGGCAACAGGTACACCATGTCATTTGTGACATCTTCCAAGAAGGCTCCTGTCCCATTACTCTAGAACCCAAGGGGCTCCAGATCTGGCTCTTAGGGAACATTCTAGCAAGCATGGCCAACTTCACAGAGGCTTCATGGTCATCTCATCGTGGGTGAGCCCGTGAAACAGAAAACATCCCAGGCTTCTGGAGCCAGTGGGTAAGGCTGAGGATATCAGAAAATGATCCAGCAAGTGTGACCTTACTGCTGAAGGGGGTACTAATCTCTCCCCCTCCAAAAAAAACCCAAAAGGATCTGTCATGGGGCAGGGCCGGGCATCTCTGAGAGAAAGAAGAGGAAGAGGATAGAAGAGTAGAGAAGAAAGGAGGAGGAGAAGAAGGGGAGAAAAGAGAAAGAAAAAAAGAAAGGAAGGAGCAATACAAGAGGGATAAGAAAGAAAAAAAAGAGGGAAAAGAAAAGATTCAGTGGTCTTTCCTTTTAAACTTGTTTATATTTTCTGACATAGCAATTATATTGTTATCTTATTACATTTTTTCCAGAGAAAGCTAAGACAACATTGAGTGACAAACAGACAGACTTTCTCTGGAAGGTGGGGTGGGAGAGAAAGAGAGTGAGGGAAGAGACAGAATTTGAGAAAGATGGAAACAGAGAGAGTGACCAAGAGGGAGGGGAGAGACAGATTCAGAAAGAGAGAGAGTCAGGGACAGATGGAAAGAAATGGATAGACATTGACAGAATGGGGAAAGGATGGAAGGCAAGCAGGGAGGAAGAGAGCAAGAGATAAAAGGAGAGGGGGAAAAAGGAAGGAGACAGGGAGAGAGAGAGAATGAGAATACAAAATAGCTGTGTAAGCATGTTTGTCACACACACTGGAAGGAAGTGACTATCACTAAACACAAGTAATAAAGATTGTGTTGTACATCTGTATATTGAGCCCTCTGAAGGTTCACAGACTGCTGGGTTCCTGCAATTAAAAACCAGAGTCCTGAACCGGGGCGGCTTCTAGCCTGAGACAGAGATTGCTGCTCAGCCAAACACACATCCAGACAAGACGTGATCTGCGCCATCTGCCTGAGCCACATGGATATCAAAACCAAGAAGCTGCCATATGTCATTTATCGTTGCTTAAATGAGTCCTCCTCCAGACTTTTTCTTCTGTGGTCTTGCATGATCGGAGAGCCTTTCCACATACTGTTAAAGATAGATGCCTCGACCATGTGCTCCTCCCTGACTTATGGCTTCAGTGATATTCTGCTGGCCAGAATACACATGTAGGGGACTCAGTGTTCTTTTAAAATACGTCAAACTTAACCATACTGAAATGAACATGAATCCTCATTTGAATGAACAACTTTTAAGATTATGTTCTGGGTATACCACACGATATGATTGCTATGTCAGGAAACGTAAACAAGCTGAAAAGGAAAGCTCACTGTGTCTTTTCTTTTTCTCTTCCCTCTGGTGTGGCTCCTTCCTTTCTTTTTCCTTTCTTTTTTTCTCCTCTCCTCCTCTTCCTCCTTCCCTTTACTCCCCATCCTCTTCCTCTTCCCTTTCCTGTGTCTAACTCGGTCTCTCTGTAGTTTGAACTCAGGGCCTCACACTTGTTGGGCTGTTTCTCTATCACATGAGACACATCTCCAGCCTGGCTTTTTGCTGATTATTTTGGAAATGGAGTGCCAGTGACTTTATCTGCCCAGACTGGTTTTAATCACAATCCTCTGAATCTCAGTTTTCTGAATAGCTAAGATTACTTGCATGAGCCTTCAGCACCAGATTCCTCTCTCTTTAACACTGGCTCTTGCTATGTTGTCAAGGCTGATCTTGAACTCCTGTGCTCAGGCTACCCTCCTGCTTTGGCTGGGACCACAAGTATGCAACAGGGGTTGCAACACCATACCTTTGGGGTTATGCTTCCCAATTCTTTCTGAATTGTGTGATATCATATTTCTTTTCTCACCAGGCCTGACCTCTGACCTCTCCAACTGAAGGAATCGCCAATCCTCATACATTACACTCTCTCTCTTCCAGGTTTTGTCATGGCAATCTGCACTGTCCCTGAGAAATTTGTACATACCTCTAGAAGTTACACTGAATTTCCGGTCAGAGAAACTGCTCCTTCGGATCAAGGGTTCACTCATTTTTTCCAGGAATAACTTAATTGTTTCCTTCTTTTCAGGTCTTGTACTTGACAGATTCAAGACCTTCCCATTCACCTTCACAGTGGAATTGCTGAGCCCAAACCAATAGAAGAAATCAAATAAAGCATCAGCCTTGAATTCATATGCAAAGCTCAGATTTTCTCCATGAATCACCTCAGTTCCTGGAGGGAAAAAATTCACCACTACTTCTTGAAAATCAAACTGGAAGAAAAGAGAAGTATTTCATTGATCTGTGGAAATGATTATCATGTCAACGTTGTAGAATTAACTACTACCCAAATATCCAAAGTACTCCCCATTTTTTCCCTTGCAGTCTCACAAAATTTTGAAGCTGTTGTCTTTATGTTTGTAAAAGGAAAACAAAATAAAACAAAACTGCATCTTTGCTTTTCCAATCATACCTATTTGAGATAAAATTATGCTTATTCCCACCCCATTTTAAATAAGTTGCTAGAGGCTGTCCAATTAACTGATGACAATGATGACACTAATAAACAAAATGTCAGATATGGTAAAGTCCCTCTTTATCTATGGTTTTACTATAATTTCACTGGCCCACATCTGAAAATACAAACAGAAAGTTCCAGGAAAATATTCTGTATGTTTTAAATAATTCTTATTACTGCATATTGTTATAGTTATTCTAACTTATGATTGGTTATGGTTAACCTCTGACTGACCCCACTTTCTAAATAAAACTGGGAGCTGGGAGCAGGTGGTTCACGCCTGTAATCCTAGCTACTCAGAAGGCTGAGATCTGATTATGACTCAAAGCCTGCCTGGGCCAGAAAGTCTGTGAAACTCTTATCTTCAACCACCCAAAATCTAGAAGTGAAACTGTGACTGTAGTGGTAGAGTGCTAGCCTTGAGCAAAAAAAAAAAAAAAGTCAAGGACAATGCTCAGGCCCTGAGTTCAAACCCCAGGACTGGACATACATAGATAGATACATACATACATAAATATGAATAAATAAATAAAACCGTCTTGTATCTATAAGTAGAAGAAAAGCTAGTATACATAAAGGTTCACTAATATCTATGGTGCCAGGTATCCATGGGCCATCTTGAGTGTCTACTCCAGTTGGGTAAAGATTCAAGAAATACAGTCCTTGGATGAACAGCACAGACCCCTTGCATGTGGCCCACAGCCCTGGATTCAGTAGCTAAGCTGACCTGAAGTCGGTAACTTTCTCCAATCACGGAGGAGATGACCATGTCCATCCCCTGCTCCAGCTGTCTTCTTATCTTGGGATGCCTTGTGTTCACAAGAAATGCGTATGTCCTTTCTAGAATCAATAAGCAGAATTCAGCAAGAAGTGTGTGCACATGACATGCATGTGCTTCTGAGGATTTAATAAAGCAGTGTTTTCCACCTTCCACAGAGATTTTAGTCATTCACAGCCTCCCTTGTCGGCTCCCTCAGCACCTAATGAGATTTCCCAAAATGCTCTGGAGAATTCTGAAGATTTAGAGGGAGCATTGGTATGAATTGGAGGGAGAGCTCAGGGCTAGTGGAAAAGTAGGTTAGGAAATCAGGGTCCTGGGGACTACAGTGTGTTACTTATGTCCCAGAGATCAAAAGCTTCACTGTATAATTACTACCCAGGACAACGTTGCCCCTACAATATGCATACAGCACAGGGGGAGAAAAATGAAATCTCAACAAGGTCAGTTTTCATGTCTCAGACTTATTTACCTTGCTGTATTTAAATCACAACTTGGCTCTAACCAAAACATTTCCACATTTGCAAAGCAGAGTATCAGCAGCAAAGCCCAGCAAGGCCTTCCATTCCCCACCCTGGCTTCTCCTGGCCCTCTGGGTACACCTGGCAGCATCTCTGCTGTGTGGCTTGTCTACGATTTCAAGGGTTAAGGCATATGAGGCTTATTCTTCTGTCTTCCTTCCCTAACACTACTCCAAGTGGAGAAAATGTCTCACCTGCTATTTAACATCACAGATTTGAACCATCAGACAACTGAGGGTTTTTATCTCTTGTTTCTTTTGGCTTATGTTCTAATCCTTTATATCTGATTCTGTCTGAGGGACACTTATTCACTTCTTAGGTCTTGGAATGTTATTAACTATTAACCTCTTAACTTTTCTAATATCCAAGATCAAGATCCATAGCTTTGTAGGGTGTTGTTGGCTCAAGCCTATAATCTTAGCTACTTGGGAGTCTGAGATATAAGTATCTAGATTTAAAGTCAGCCGGGGGCAGGAAAGTCCAAAAGACTCTTATTTCCAATGAATCACATAAAAAGCAGAAAGTGGAGCTGTGGTTTAAGTGACAGAGCACTAACTAGCCTTGAACACAAAAGCTCCCTGAGTTCAAGCCTTAAAACTGGTATAAAAAGATACATGGCTTTTATTTTAAGTTCTTCATGAAGGGAGACACAGAAACACCCATGCCATCTTCTGTTTAAAGGTAATTAGGCAGGTGCAGGTGGCTCACATCTGTAATCCTAGCTACTCAGAAAGCTGAGATCTGAGATTCACATTTTGAAGCCAGCCCCAATGGAAAAGTCCCTGTGAGACTCTTATCTCCAGTTTACCACTCAAAACCTGCAAGTGGCACTGTGGCTCAAGTGGTAGAATACCAGCTTTGAGGATGAAGAGGCTCACAAACAACGCCCAGACCCTGAGTTCAAGCCCCGCAACCAACAAAAAATAAAAATAAAAATAAAAGATGAACCATCATGAAAAACTGAGCATTTTGTACTTGCTTCTAGATATCTCAGAGCAAACCTGTGGGGCTCCAAGAACAAGGAATACATTTTTTGGGGGAGGTCCAGTCATGGGGCCTGAACTCTGGGCCTGGGCGCTGTCCCTCAGCTCTTCAGCTCAAGGCTAACGCTCTACCACTTCAGCCACAGTGCCACTTCCAACATTTTTTCTTTTTGCTTATGTGGTGCTGAGGAATCGAACCCAGGGCCTCATACATGCAAGGTAAGCGATCTACCACTGAGCCACCTTCCCGGCCCACAAGGAATACATTTTGAGCTAAGCTTATTCATCTTTATTTTCCTACCCATGTTTTCCTTTCTTCTGAATTATTCAGGCACTTTATATATAAACAGCCTATATTTTCATTGAGACAAGTGATAAGTAAAATGAATCAAGCAAGCTTTTTGGTACCTTGAATTAAATTCCACAGAAACCAAACCAAGACCTTCAGGTTCCTTAAAGGAATTTTAAGCAGGGCTACCATATTCCATAGTTATGTTGGATGGGCAGATTGTGCACTGTACAACTCTAGAAGATGTCATTCACATTTACAGACATTGGTAACTGTCCTGAAGAAATGGTAGCTTTTATAATTTTTTTAAGAGTTCAACTTAGAATAGAGCAGTGCCGACGAGCTGCTTTTAATTACAATTTTTATAATCTCAATCATCTTATGTTTCCATATTATAGAACCTCTTTATTTTACAGCTTTGCCCAAGATCAATCAATGGTGAGTTTCTGTACCTCCTTCCACAATAATTGTCATACAAGTGTGTACTCTCTGTAGGCAACTCACAAATGGAAAAGTCTCATATTCTTTCTTTAGATTCTGAGAGGTCAATGCAGGAGATGTCCTTGGAATAGTTGTGAATTACATTTCCCCAGAGCCAGCCAGCTCTCTGGTCATCATCAAGCCATAGCACATGAGGGGCTCAGATGCTTGACAAGTACTGTTTGTCACTGAGTGTTCTGGCCCCCTTTGTACAATGAGTTGTCCTGCCTTTAAACTAGGAAATGTGTCAAGAGTTGACTAATCCAAAGCAATGTTGGAGGATGTCTACTTGAAATTTGTACATCATTTATTACCATGTACTTATTTTAAGAAAGCCATTTAGAAGCAAGTTCAATTTACTCTGCCCTTATCTTTGAACAGTATGCCCATGACTTAACCCTGAGAGCAGAAAGAGAAGGGGAAATAAAATTTTTCCTATTGGAATTAAGCTGTCACAGTAACAGACGTGTCTACACACAAAATTCTCACATACAAACATCAAACATAAAGCAACTAAACTTGCTATTTATTTTCTGTATCTTAGTTTTCTCATCTATAGAATAAGGATAATATATGTAGGACAAACATATTTTAGTTTCTTGGGTCATTCCAAATGTATATTATTGTCCCAGCAAAATTGTTAATATTGACTTCCATAGTTTAAATGTTCCCATTTGGATGATAAACCCCAGAGGGACCTTGTGCCAATCAATCACAATAAAGCAAGCCTAAAGCACAGTAAGTGTTTGATAACTAACTAGATTACATGTCATATTTACCATTCCAGGCATTTCTACAACCCCTGAAGGCCTAGAATATCAGCTCCCTTCCTGCCTAGACAGGAAGTAGAATCTCTGAAAGTTCAGAAAGTGAAATCACTTCCTGACTAGGCAGGAAGGAAGAAAGAAGCTTCCAAATAGAGAGCTTCTTGCTCTAGGACCATTAGAAATTGGTCCTTTACCTGAATTGTGAAATTATAACCTCTCTTTACAACATCTTAATAAGAATAAAATTATATATTTTTAAAAGAAATTGGTTCTGCAATCTGCTTCCACATGCCAGATAGTCTCACATACCGGACTCCTTGCTGTTGACCTTGCTATAATGAGACATCTGTCCTAATTTCTCCATGCTCCACCCCATCAACATACTTTAGCCTATAGCCCAGCAAGACAGAAACCCACCAAAATTATTTATATGCTTACCTTTTGAAGTGTCTTTTTTTACATTAATGAAGAACAGCATGGGTTTGCTCAGTATAGTTTCCCTATAGTCTTTATAATCACAGTAGTTAGTCAATTCCACATACCTATGAGGGGGGAGGGGAAGAAGACAAATTGCAAATGTCTCATTTAAGGAAGAAGATGTACTTACTAGACAAGTGCCTGACCCAGTCTCAAGCCTTTAAAGGAATGGGTCCATGCAGAGGTTCTCATATGTTATACCATATAGATAAATCTCGTTCTCCTGCTCATAGCTGATTGACCAAGGGTTCAGTGTAAGACCCAAAGGTGACATGGACTTTGAGATAACTTGGTGTCAATGCTTATCTCTTTATCAGATTAAAGCCAGATCCATCTATTATTTGGGCTAAAAGATATTGCTTGAAACTAACTCAAACTTTTAAGTCCCCAGGTTCAAGAATAAAGTACACTCAGTGAAACTGGCTGAGTTTTCTACTGCGGACTCATCTTACCTAACTGGTAGGGCTGGTATTTTCTTTTTCTTATTTCCCACTTCTCCCCCCTAATCTCAAGATAAATGCAGCCCCTGGGGTCAATAACAAAGTCAAACAACATCTGTATGAGCTATTACTAATTTATATTTCTTCAATCCTTGTGCAGTTTTTTAAAAAGTTATTATTGGACTTTTGCCCATATCCTCATTAAATTTAGATTCCTTGGTTTTAGTTCATTATTCTAGCCTAGAAAGATTTTTTTCTGAATCTTGACTCTCATTTTCTAGCAGCTTAGCTCCTTTTCACTGCCCTATAGATTTTCTAAGCAGTCTTTATATGTCACTACCACCGTGGTTAATCTAAAGCTCAGAGTGCAAATTAGCTTCCTTTTAGGAAGGTGGCTAGTTTATTGTTTTCTGAACTATAGCAAGCTCACAGGCTATGTGGTTGGCAGAGACAGCTGGATGGCATGCAGTGGGCTGAAAGACACCTTTGTCCCAGTCCCTCCTGAACACAAAGCTGGCTTCCCATTCAGACATCTGGCAACATCTGCACGGGCTGACTGAGCGGACAGCATGCACTGCTTTTTGCTACAATACCAAGTGACTGCTTCTGTCTACTCATGGCAGAGACAGCTCCAGCCATTTCTGTCAGATTAGCTGTCCTTCCATTGCCTGACATGAAAATTACAGCCTTGGAAAGCAATGGACTGCTGCAGGGAGCTATGGCCACACTGTTGTCTTGGCATCCTTCCCACTTGCCCATGGACCACAACCCCCTCCTAGGAGCCAGATACAAGATGGCAGCCAAGATGTGGGAGAATATTGACCCCAGGCAGGAAAACACAGATCCTGCCTGGCAGTCTCCAGGTCTATGTCATTATCTTTTTGCAGGATTGCCAAACATGATTTTGAAAGCTTTTAATCATGACACCCCCCTGATGGAGCCATGGAGGTATTTCCTGACTTCTACTTTATCTGCCTTTGAAAATAGTCTCCATTTCAAAACCACCTGAACTAGTGATAGTCTGGGAGTTGGTCCTATGGTGAAGAAGGGGAGGAAAAGAGATTGAGTGTGTTTTAGAATTGGTAAAGGGGAACAGATGTTTGATGCTCTGGGGTGTGTGAAAGGAGAGGACTCCAGAGAGGAAGGAGGAAATGAAGCATGAAGAAGGGTCAGGAGCTGGAAGCAGGTATGACCTGAATATGGAGAGGGTAAAAGAATGAAGACATGCCAGGCGTTAGTGGCTCACACCTATAATCCTAGCAACTTGGGAAACTCAGATCTGAGGATGGTGGTTCAAAGCCAGATTGGACAGCAAAGTCCGTGAGACTCTTATCTCCAATAAACCACCAGAAAACCAGAAGCGGTGCT